GGTTATTTAAATTAGCAGTTCATAAGCCCATTTCATAACATAGCCCTTAATTAGAGACAGATTCTCCATTTCCTTCACCATTAAATTATTTGCACTTGTGTCTGCTTTCCAGCTGTCCACAGTCAAACATAGCCAAATACTAATTATTACAGAAATCTATTACATAAACAAGACTAAAGTTCTTAAAAATGCAGGTTAATAATTTCTGAGGATTTTTCAGAAAAATAGTTGTCTTTCCCTAGTCCTTAGGAAAATTTTTATTACAAAACCCCTACACTCCAGCATTATTTGTGGTTTTGGCCAAATGAATTAAAAGGAGTAGTTTGAACTGTCTTAGCTGTCCTGAAAAACCAATCCTCTGCAGTCTCTCAGACAGGAGAAACTGCTTTACCTGGTGAACAATGTTTGCAGCTGCTGTATGGCACTTCAGAAAGTAAATTTGCTAACTATATGTGCATCTCAACATTTTGAATGGAAGGGCCTATGAAAAATATTGCCTAATTCCCATCAGTTAGGGTCAGCAAGCAGAAAAACTCTGAATCAAACTTTTAGTAGCCTTTTGTCGCATTCAGCTGGCTGGAAGTCTGGGACTGGTCCAGCCAAGCAGCATGATATCTGAGGGCAAAGGTCCAATTGCAAACATGGACCAGGGACATGACCTATTATGGAATTACTCCATTAGCATCCCCCCAGCACCCTGCCCCTCAAGGCTTCAGTTTTATTCCCTCTGTGGCAGGAACCTGGTCTAAAGCATCATCCATCTCAGTTAAATTGGTTCCCACAGCCTTCTCATTGTGGTGTTCTATCTCCAAAATCACTTACTCTGGATTTGCAATTATGTAATTGAAAGCAGAAACTGGGGTTTTTTTTGCAGGAAAACTCAACTCGTTAGGAACCACAAGCTACTGGTTATTAGCTGAAACTGTAATTTCTTGGTTTTACTCAATGATGAACTACAGAATGACTAAGACAGCCCTTCTGGCAATGATTAACATTGATAGAAACCTTAGTGTTTCCTAAAGCAACCCACTCTCAGTTGCTATATATTTTCCAATGCCTATGTCTTTAAATTCATATGATTTCTTTAGAGAGTATGATTGGTTATTTTTATGGTGGATCGGAGGGAAGGCTGCCTCATATTTTGCAACCTGACATTATGATGACTACCCATAAACCAGCAATGTGCTTTTGGGCACCAAAACACTAACATTCCTTTCTCTAGGAAGCAGCCAGTCAGTAATGTGTGTGGCAGCAGCAGTGTATTATAAAAAAAGGACTCTGTTATCCCATTTTTAATTTATTGCTGCTTCATTTTGCTTTTGCCAGGGGACACTTGGAGCAGTTTGAATATGAGGAAAAGCTCCTTTACCTTTCCTTGGATGTAAATGTCCAGCATGGGCGCAGTTTCACAGCTTCACTGTTACTAAGAACAGTTTTACCTGGTCAAAATGTGAGGGGAAAAGTACAAATCATTTAGCTGAGTAGTGAGAACTGAAAGATGCACCTGGCAATCATGGGCTCAGACAGAGAAAACATGTGAAGCCCAAGAGCTCGTGGCTGAGCTGGACAGACTAGACAGCTCAGGTGTGGCAGTGGTGCCTACCTACTCTTTTCCCCTTTTCTAGCAGAAGTGAAATAAGAATTTATATCCTCCCTGTAGGACATTAGGGTATCCTAATCTCCACCAGCTGGTTATTCAGTTCTGCTCTGAAATAAGAAAATACTTTTTCCTGTTTATTTCCTGTTTTAACAATTTAAAATTGAGCTTATGAGTAAAGTTTTACATCTTTAACTTTTGATGTTTAAAAGAATTCTGATTAAAAGATAGTCAACTCATTTAGAGATGATTAATATTTTCTCAGAAAAAGTATTTTTACACTAGTTGGTGAAAACTCTCAGAATGATTATTCTTCAGGTAAACTTGGAATTTCTGTCCCCTTTCCATAGACATACTAGGGCCTTATGCTTTATGTGTGTATTTATTTACCCAATGCTGTACATGGATTTAAGTGCCTCATTCCTAGCTGCTTGCTACTTACTTGAGATAGAATTTGTGAAGTTTGGTGCATGTTCCATAGCTCAGTTAATTTCCAAGCATGACTTTAGCCAAGTTGCAGATCTTTGCAACCTTCACAAATTTCATTTTGCTGATTTTCCTTGGAGTTAGTAACCCCTAGCAGGAGGTGAGAACAAGCACTTGGGAGAACAGGTCATTACATTTTAAATCATTTTACAATGAATTTGAGTCAGAGGTCAGAGCCTCTAGCAATTCTGAAAATCCCTCCAACTGTTTCTGTTTAGCTTTCCACTGTGAATTGTATCCCCTTTTAAAGAGACATCCTTTCGTCTTGTCCTTGCAGTCACACATCAAATCTGGGAGGGTTATTCTTGTGGAGCTGTGAGTCTGTCACATCTGCCAGCATCAGTGTCTCTTCATATCATAACCCCTGGATTTTAAAAGGAATCACCCCTGAAGTGCATTTAAAAGTGAGAAATCAATAGTGATTTGTGGAAAAGACCACACAGGTTCAGGGAATTTGAAGTTGTTCAGAGAGTGCTAGAAGGACAGATGGATTAGGCCACTCTGTGATATCTGGAGGGAACATTATAATCCACAGTTTTGAATGCTCCACAGAGAGGATAAATTTTTCAGTAAAGTGGCATCAGCCTCTTTGCCTCAGCACTGCAAAACCTTAGATGATCGTTCTAAGAGTTCCCTGGCATGGAATGAGAGCGTAGAGCTTACAGGAAAGCTTTTTTTAAATCAGCAAAAGGGGGAAGTTGATCCTTGAATTATACAACAGCCACACCAGCTAAAAATAGATTGGAAAAAGCTGTTTTCAGTATCAAGAGCTTTCTCTCCAGATAACCAAAAATGTTCTCTCATTCACAAAAAAGAAAATCTAATTTTTTTTTTATTGACCTGATAACCTGGGACAAACACATGATTCAGGTCCTTGTTTATCTCCTTCTCTGTTACAAGCAGCCCCTTCTTTCCTCAGCCCTAGGCCAGAGTAAGAAGTGTGGCACATTTAGCGGAGTCACATAGAAAGGGATGGTGTGTCTGCCTTGCCTCTGGTGTAGATCTACTTCCAGGGAAGAAATATTTTATGCAATATTTCAGTGATGAAGGAAAAAGCATTAGAACTGCTTGGCCTTTACATGCTGTTCTGCACTTGCTTCTCCTTGGTCTCAGTACAAATTTAATGAAAGAAGTTCTATAAATGGGTGCTCAAGAGATCTGAGAGTGAAAGCTGTGGTTTGAAATTCCAAAGATGATAAAAGCTTATTTCCTCACTGAATTTCGACTCAGTTACAACAGTAGATTTTAATTCCTGTCAGGTATTGCTTCCTGGAAAGCAAAGGTAGAAATACCCTTGGCTCCACACGGAATAAGGCAGTTCCTTGTCTTGAGGTCTTGTTTCCAGCCAGGCAGCAAAATCACTTGGTGCAAATAGTGTGCATGTTGCTGTGCATTACTTTTTGTGGTAAAAGCCACCTGTACATTACCGTGGAGGATGTCAAAAAATAAAAAAGGAAGTCTTGGAAAATGGTCTTGTGGTGACATCTGAGAGTTCATGAACATAGTTGGGAAGTGAGAAGGAAAGGCAATAGGAGATGGAGGGAACTATGGAGAAATGCTGTAGTTAGACACTGGCCAAACACCAGACACCCACGAAAGTCGCTCGCTCACCCTCCCCTGCCACAGCTGGGCAGAGGAGAGAAAAATGTAATGAAGGGCTCATGAGTTAAGACTGGGAGAAAACACTCCAAGGGCAGAACAGGCTCAACTTAGAGGTACTAAGTGAATTTATTACTAACAAAATCAGAGGAGGATAATGAGAAAATAAGCCCCTAAAAACACCTTTTCTTCCCCCAGCCCCTCCCTTCTTCCCACCAATGATGCAGGGAGACAGGGGGTGGGGGTTTGGTCAGTGCATCACCACTGCTCAGGGAGAGGAGTCCTTCCCCTGTGAGACCATGGGGTCCCTTCCCACAGGAGACAGTTCTCCATGAACTTCTCCAGTGTGGTTCCAATCCCATGAGCAGCAGTGCTCCCAAAACTGCTGCAATGTGAGTCCCTCCCATGGGCAAACAATCCTCCCAAAACTGCTGCAGCGTGGGTCTCTCTTCCCATGGGGTGCATCCTCCAAGGACAGGCTGCTCCAGCCTGGAAGCAGAGCCCCATCTCTGCACTGGGTCTCCCACTGGATCACAGCCTCCTCCAGGCATCCACCTGCTCCAGTGTGGGCACCTCCCCCAAGGGCTGTGGGGGGATCTCTGCATCCCCCATGGATCCCCAGGGGCTGTGGGGGGATCTCTGCATCCCCCATGGATCCCCAGGGGCTGTGGGGGGATCTCTGCATCCCCCATGGATCCCCAGGGGCTGTGGGGGGATCTCTGCATCCCCCATGGATCCCCAGGGGCTGTGGGGGGATCTCTGCATCCCCCATGGATCCCCAGGGGCTGCAGGGGCACAGCTGCTTCATCACCAGAGCCTGTGGAGGAATCTGAGCTCTGGTGCCTGGAACACCTCCTGCCCCTCCTTCTCCACTGACCTTGGTGTGTCCATGTTGTTTCCCTCACATGTTCTCACCCCCTCCTCTTCTCTGGCTAGAAAAAACTGTACCCCACTTTGTTTTGATTTTCTTCTTAAATATGTTGTCACAGAGGCAACATTTACAATTCACAGTTACCAATCATCTCTCACTGGCCCAGCCTTGGCCAGCAGCATGATCAGATTCCATCAGGGATTGGCTCTGCTGGATGTGGTGGAAGCTTCCAGCAGCTTCTCACAGCAGCCGCCTCCATGGCCTCCTTGCTACCAAAAACCAGGCTGTGCAAAACCAACACAACTTGGTATAAAATAATTTATCAGAAAACATTATGAGATTTTATTTTATGCTGCAAGTCAATTGACAAGGGTCCTTTGGAGAGGTTTGTGGGGAAGGAAGATTGTTACTGAGCTGCCTCAGTTTAATTATTACTTTGCTGGTGTTCCCATAAACAAAATAAATGCTCTTGCTGTCACAGTTGCAATTTCTATTTACCACTGAATGAAATGTGAGAACTTAAATCAGAGTATTCATTTATGTATTTAGAAATCCAAGTCTTGCAGAATTAGGCATCTGAGGTAACGGCCAGGTTTGATTTTTCTTCCCCAGAGTTTTCCTCTGCAATGGATGTTCCAAAATTTTAAACCTCCACAAGTCACATCATCTGTTTGAACATGGATGAATTTCAGCACTCTGCAGATTAATCCAAAAGATTTGAAATGGGAAACAGGAGCAGCCCATGTGGATTTACTGCTGTTCACTCATCAAAACCTGAAACTTCTAGCAAACCACCAAAAATTAGTGTGTCCTCATCAGCCCAGCTACAAAGATGTCCTCATCAGCCTAATGATAAAGGATGTCCTGAGCCTGCCTGGCCATGGATGAGGGGAGGCCCTTGTAGTCAGTCACAGTGAAGGTACTGAGAGGTTTTTTGCTGTGGAGAGGTAGTGGCTGGATCAAAGGGGTGGTCATTTATGCCATTAAAACTATTCAGGAAAGCTCTGCAGGACTGATCAGATGGGAGATTCTCTTTCAAGTTTTGGGTTGCTTGGTTTCCCTCCAGTGTGAGGGAGGCAGGTCAGGCAGATACTCTCTGCACTTGGAGCTGCAGCTGCTCTCACTGATGTGGCAAAGGGACTTCAGGGACCTCCAAAGGATGTTTTTACTCCTTGCTAAACTCTGCTCTTAGTAGGAACCACATGCTTCCATGGAGAACAGCGTGGATGTTGGATGATGAAGTGAGTTTCAATGGCAGTGAGTCCCACTCATTGCCTATTAGAAACAGTCTGGGCTTTTTTCCCTTGTTTCTGCCTTTTAAATCATTTAACAACAATGCAATGAGCCTGCAAGCTCTGCTGCTCCTTTTGTTTGCTATTTCAGTTGCCTTGTCCTTGTCTTTGGTGATGACCTGTCAGTCACTCATTATTTCCTCCTAGTTAATCTTTTCTTTTTCCACATGCAGTGTTTAGACACAGTGCCCTTCTTCAAGAGGCTTCATTCCCTGTGTGCATTTCCTTTGGCTTATCTTCCTATATGGGCCCCTCCTGTGGGGACCTGAGCACATCCCATAACAAGCCATACATTTCCTTCCTCCTCATCTTTTTTTCTTCTGGCCATCCATGCAGGAATTTCCAAGAGATTAATGGGAGCAGAGAATGTGTAAAATCACAGGCTGGGCCAGGTCCCCATCTGTAATCATTAAACCACATTATCACAGCACATACACAAACACAGCAGACCCACACCTGGGCTAAAACTCTCCTGCTATACACCTGACCTGTTGGAGAAGCTCTGGTATGAAAAGTTATTCCTAAAGTCATCTAAAAATGTGTTTTATCATGTCTCTGTAGTTGCAAGTATTTTAGAGTGTAGCCACTCCTTTGGCTTTTGTTTTTGCTGGGTCATAAAAGACCACAAAAATACCTGAGCTGCCTCATATTCTGTGAGGCTTTAGTTATAGTGTGTGAGGTATGTTTCATTGATATTATTTGGTGTCTCAACAGTGTTTTATCAGTTGCTTTGTTTTCCTTCCTGAACTGTAACCTTTTCCTTGTAGAGCCTGTATTGGGGCCATACCATACCAACCATTTGAAACACCTTTATTGAGCACGGCAATAGTGATAAAACTAGAAATCAAGGAATGTCATAATTCACCATAAACAATTGTATTGAAATATAGGCACCAGCATATATTTTTCGTAATTAACCTCTCAGCTGAGTGGCCCTGGAATCCTGGAAATAAGATGCAGATGGATGATGGAGCTGACAGTGCCATGTTGGGTCGGCAGCTGACTGCTAGGGACAGTGATGATCTCTGGGGTCTAGATTAATGTTTGTTAAGAAGAGAGAGAAAAGATTTTGCTAACAGATGTTAGCAAAGCATGAAAACCCTGTTCCTTTGGGCAGGAATCATAGCCTGGAAAGGTAATGGAGAGATTTTTGAAAGGAGTTTATTTTCTGTATAAATGTGTGTCACTTTAGGTCACCTTTGTCTTTCTCACTCTCATAAACTGAACTCAATCTGTGACTCCCTTGTGGTTTACTCATTGCTAGCTTTAAACATTTATGTCCACATAATTGTCTTTAAATGTTTTATTGGGAATTTTCTCCCTCTGTTTTTAGGCTACACCTCTCAAAGCATCCTTCCATGGGTTTGACCTCAGACTGTTCCTGGGTGATGTATATATAGCCTTTGCATAATTTTTGTCTCTGCCTTTTGTTTGTCTTATTATCTTGCAACCCCAGCTTTGCAATGAAGTGAATAGTTACGATATTATGCAATATTATGCAATGATGAACAGTGTGAATAGTTAACAACTGCTGGCTGATATAAGTCCATGCAGCCACCTCATTTCAAAACTCTCTCAAAGTACTCCAAGGTAAAGATGATTTTGCACAGTGTATTATTTTTTTTAATTCTTTTTTTTTTTTTCCAGAGTGAGGGGAGTTAAACAGCTCAAGAAATGTGTTAACTATGAAAAGGCAAAAGGCCGAGTCATCTGCTAGGCAGGACATAAGATATTGCCTTGGGGAGTTAAAAAATGGTCAGACACTCTTATACCTGGTCTTTGGCCACCTGCACTTGTGCTGTACAAGCAAACTTTCAGGCTGTGCTGATGAGACTTTGTTTTTATCCACAATTGCAGCTGCAGTGCTTTCCCTGAACTGTAGAGAAATTGTTTTCATCATTCCAGTTTCTTCCTGCATGATAGACATCTCCATACAGGTCCTTTCATTATTTATTTGCAGGCCTCAGCATTTTAAGGACAAGGAAGTTTTTTGAGTGGTCATCCTTCAGGGATTGAGGCTTGTTTCTTGCACAGGGTTTAGGTGAAGCTGATGGATGTTTTTGACTCCGAAAGGCTTGAAAAAAGTCCCTTTCCTTTACTCCTTCCCCTGAGAGAGCATGTTTCAAAATGCTGCTGCTGGGGTAATTGTGCCCTAATTGAGGAAAGTCCTGGAGTGATTCCACTGGAGTCAGACATGACATCAGCAGTGTTGCCTGGGCAGCAAGTTCCATCCATTGTCCTTGTGCCACACACACTTCCCTAGACCCAAATTGTGTGTGTAACTACATCCAATAATCACTATCTTTTAACGGGACATGCAGCCTCAGCACTTCAGGCACAGCACAGGACTTGGATGTGGTCAGTGTTTGCACTTGCAGAAACAAAGCAGACTTCTTTGCTATCAATGATTTTGTTGTCTAAGCAGCACCTTCAGTGTAAGATCCTAGCATTAGAGAAGGGATTATTCCTTGCTCGCAAGCATATTACTTGTCATAACATGTTCAGGGTGCACTGCTGGTGCCTAATATACCTATCTGTCATCCCTTGAATTTACAAGGATAAATGCAGTCCCTCAGGCTAAGGTGATATATATCATCTGAAAAATGCATCTGGGAGCTATATCAGGGTGATACTGAATTAATCTTTGTTAGATTTAGATAACTTCATCCCGATGAGTTTCTTGCTATGATAATGATGCAGCTGGATTTTAAGTCCTCTTTCATCAAATAATAGCTTCCCTTCCAGAAAATTCTTATCCTATTTGATTTGTGCTGTGTGTTCTCGTATGCTGAAGTCAACAGGAGTTTCTTTGGGGGCTCTGTCGGAGTGGGATCACACCCTTTTGTTTGAAAAAAGTCTCTTTTCTTTGATGGCATCTGTTTCTAGACTACATTGGCATTTTCCATGTTTCACCATCTCTAAGCTGTTTATTTCTACTTGCATTTTAATGACTGCTTCTGACTGTTTCCCCGTGCTCTCATTAGAGCTTTTTTGGACCTCCAGTTGAGCTGATGAGACATGGAGTTTATGCAGTGTTTTTTCACTTGGTCTCATTGAAGATACAACACACTTGGGAGGATGTATATGCTGCGTTCCACAGCTGCAGGATCAAGTCCAGGGAGGCTACAGTGAGTGGTGACATGGCATGGGACTCCAACGAGACCAGCTTCTGCTTGGTTAATCTCAGGAAACCATTTATTCAATGCAGGAGCAAACTCAGCTTAAATCCAGAGACAGGGAGCCTAGAACAGAGGCAGGGTGGTGGGTTTTAAGGGACAGAACCAGGGTGGAGTGTAAGGTCTGGGTCTAATAGGAACACAGCAAGGGGGAAGCCACAGGGGCACAGAACCAGTGGGGCAACTCTTCCCAGGCTCACAGGGCACATCCCTGAGACAGAGGGATGGAATTCCCTCTTCCTGGGCTTTGAAGCCACACCTCTCACTTTAACAATGCATATCTGAAACTAAGTCTTTGCCTCCCTGGGCAGAGGTGCCTTACATGTATCCAGCTGTGTGTGCCCTGTCACAGAGTCAGCATGGGTGGGCTTCCATCTGGGTTCAGCATTTCAAGGGTTACTAGGACTGTTTGCTCATTAACATTCCCTGTTTAACATACATTGATCATCACCAATTTCCATGTGATTTGCCCTAGCCACAGTATTAATACAGCAAAATCCACTTTTAAAGGTATTTTGAGTTTTGGGGTACATTTTTCAGAAGAATAATTTATTAATTGAAAAATGAAATCACAATTTTTGTATTTTCAAAAGCAGTTTACTGCTTTTTCAAAAGTTACTTTTTTTTCAAAAGTTCTTCTCAGGATAGTATTTTTTTCAACTGAAAAACTTAGCTGATTTTTACTTTTTCTACATGGTCTGCAATGGTGATAACTGAAAGTCCATAAGTAAATATAAAATAGGTCCAAGTATAAACACAAAATAAAGTGTCAGCCAGATCCTAGATCAGCAAGTTGTTTGGGTTTTTTTTATTCCAGAACATGGTAAGAGCCCTCTCTGGGATGTAGTTTTTGGTGAAAAGTTGAATGACTGAAATTAGTTCTGGCTGCTTTATTTGGGTATCATACTAAATGACACAGATTACTTTCCTATTAAGTTCAGCCACTCTATGAGGAAGTTTGTTTTAATCAGTTTTTCATGGCAGTTTTCTGCCATCAGGTCTGGATATTACTACAGGCAAGAACTTCTACAGAATTAGTTAACTAAATTATAAGTATGCCACCTTAATTTCTACTCCCTCTCTCCTTTCTTTTTTTGGGGGTGGGGGGAGTGGTTTGCCTCTGGCAATGATGTGTTTTCGGTTCCTGATTTGAAAGAGAAAATGGTGAAAGGACTGTGGTTTTCAAGGTATGAGGAGCAATTTGGCAGGTTAAAGCTGGTCCACTGGAATTCTTCATCTTGGTTTCATTGTTTTTCCACAACAGCGTGTTTGTTGGAAGAGGAAACAGAAACCTGCCAAAAGCTGTCATTGTGCTAAAAGAGAACTAAATGGTACTGCTGAAAAATAAAGCAGGATGGGGCAAATCAAGCTGTCAGGATGTACAGTGCTATTCTAGAGAATAAAGTGGCTCTCATGGCAGAAAAAGTGCCCCAGAATGAATAAAAAGTAGTACCTGATTCTCTGCATCTTGTTTTAGTAGCAATTAAAAAATTATAAACATTTCAAAGAACTTTGAGAAGAGATGAAGATGGAAAAATAGATTGGAGTGATTTTTTTTTTTACTTCTGTAGCCAATTCCTGACATGTGGGTTGCATGGAGAATTTTCCTCAGCAAAATTCTCTCTTCAGCTTTCATTGATTTTCTAGCTTTCATCAAACATGCAAATAGCAGTGCAGATGCTAGAAAGCTTTATGGCACTGAAATAAGAAGATTTGTGGAAGGAAAGTGAGGGAATCATTCCATTATGGTTGTAATAAGCTATTCTTACGTATTGGATTTCTTAAGTTACGGCTTATTGTGAATGCTCAGCTCAGGGATAATGTTAAAGAAATGTAAATAGGGAACTTTTTATTGCAAATTGGTTTTAAAGTTATTTGGGAGCTTTATTTAAAATATTGCAGTATATTTAGAAATGTTTAACTAGTAACATAACTTTTTTAATGTTGGTGGCTGGGTGTAGCAGTCAGGTGTTGCGACTTTCTGAGGGTTGCATCCTGAGAAGAGGATGTCCTGGAAGCCCAGGAACCTCTGCAGTCACATCTGTGATTCCAGCTCTGAGCCCTGAAGGCTCAGATTCCAGCTCTGAGCTCTGAAGGGCGTTTGAGTGAAATTTCAGCTCTCTGAGGTGACACAGGAGATGGAGCTTTGGCAATAGATCTCTCAGGAGGTTTTTAATCAGCTCTTTCCTCCAAGAAATCCCGTAACAAATAGCTAGGGATTCAGAGAAAACAGAGGTTTTTATCCCTGAGGGCTGGGTGCAGGGCAAAGGGGAAGAATCAATGGGATACCTAGAATCTACATGGGCTGCAAGCCAGCCTGGAGGTGACTTCTTTTGCCCACCACAACTGTGAGGGCTATTAGTCAGGGTTTCTCCCTCAGGGGGAGGGTGGCAAGCTGAATCCTAAGGGCTTCTCCTCCAGGGGAGAGCAGCCACACCGCTGGTCAGCTCACCACTCTACACAGGTTTGTACATTGTGATTCTAGAATTTTATTCTTTTTCATAATTGGTTTTGAATGATGGCAATGATGTTTTTTAATGAGGTTTTTATGTGGAGGGAATGGGCTCCTAATTTATCACATATATGTCTGAAAATATAACATGCACTCAGGTGGCAGAATGTTTCAGAAGAAAGTTGAAGGCTTTTTTCCCAGTTCAGGACACTAAATCAGAAGGTGGCTGCTCAAATCTTGTGGGAGCTTTCCCAAGGAAATAAAATTCGGGAGGATGACAAGCAGGATATTTTAAGTGGGAACTTGTATGCATATGGAAGTTGAAAGCTTGTGAAGGCCTATAGCACTATAGTCAGCATAAATATAAAAATAAAGTAAAAAACTGTGGACAGCGCACAGATTGTGCTGTAAAAAGTATTGAGTAATACTTCATCCCCTCCTGTGAGCGTGAGGAATACATGACTGTCATCCTTCAAAGGCAGGCACTGAGTTACTGTCCTTCTTTGGGTCATTTCTCCCTGAACTGACAGCTGGTTACAGCCCTGCTCTGCCCCATCCCCAGCCTGGGGTGGCCTCACCCTGGCTTTTTTCCTGCAGGAAGTATCTGGAGCAATTGGGAATCCAGCTCTTCTGCTGCCTTTGAGGTCCCTTGGAATAGAAAGGGGACAGTCAGTTTCTCAGCAGTATCACAGCACTGTGTGCCTAGCTGTTACGCGGGAAGGCAGTACAAAACCATTGTCCTGTAAATGGGAACAACTTGCACAAGTTCTTGCTGTTCTCTCAGGAAGAATTTTTAGAACAAGGTTTAGAGTGAAGATAGGGTGGCTGTACTCAATTGTCTGGACACCTGACTTTGAAAGTAAAACGCTCTCTGCATCTGGGCTGAGCAAGAAGTTTTTCTCTGTGTCAGGGGTGTGAATTGTAAATCTACTATTAGGTTTTGCAATATAGCCACAGCAGTTTAAGATCATCTGTGAGCTTTTTATATAGCAAATATCATCATAGTTTAGAGGCAAGAGGACACTGGTGATATCCCTGATTTCTTCCACCAATTTTATTTTTTTTTCAGCATCTGACAGTCTAGCATTTGATTTTTTATCCCAGATTCTGTGGTAGTTACAGGACATTACAAAGCATTTCAGGGCTGCTGGAAGCTCATAAATAGCCTTCTGAAGTCAGCATCTCTTATAGTACTGACACTGCAGGATTTCCAAGGGGCTATTTGCATCCTCTCTGTTTCTCATTGGGTTCCCTTGTGGCATCTCAGCTCTGCCAGAGTATCTGTCCTTGATCCAGCCCTAGCAGAAACTCTAAACCCAGGTAATCCTTTGTTCCCTGACTGTTGAGGAAATTTGTACATGTTGCTACATACAAACAAGCTGTTCTTGAACAATTGGAGTTAGATAGTGCTGAAAAAGGTTCAGCTGCTGGGCTTACCCAGGGGACCTGGGGAGGCTGGTTTATGCATCTGAACTAGGTCATCATATTCCCTGTGTGTACCTGGTGCTTCAGCACTTAGGAATGCAGAGGCAGCATTGGGAAAAACAAGCCAGGAATGAGATGGTGTGTATTGGTTGCAGTGCTTTTGCAGACTGGCTTTGGGAAAGGAAATTCTTTAGGCACACTACCATGCTCTCATCCAAATTGTTTTGCTTTTCACTGCATGCTCCTAGGCCCATTAAGCTGGAAATGGAACTGGGAATGGCTTCTGGAATACAACATGCAGAACTGTTTTTGCCAGAGCATTGGTGCTCTGTTTATTTTTCTCACTTCATGCTTCAGCAAAGTTGCTGCCATCCCTCATTTTTCCTGGTACATTAAACCTGGTTCAGGATGCAAATGATTATGCTGAATGAATCATCTCCATAGCCTTGTGCATCCAGATGATTTCATTGTCTTTACTTGTATGTTCACAGTGTGCTTCTTGAATAATGCAGTGTGCTGGTGGTCCCTGAAACTTTAAGTATCTGGCATATGATTTCATCAAGACTGAACTATATTCTAATTTGATGAAAGCTGGTGTAAATCCACTGATACCAGGGGAATTGTGTCAATTTAAAGACTCCAGACAGGATCTTTATGACTGTATTTTTACTCCATGTCAAAGTATATTCAAAATAAAGATTTGTCATATTTGACAGCACTCCTTAGGTTGGTCATTTCTAACATAAAAATGCAGGTGTGGGGAGAAGTAGAAAAAACAGTTTGATTTTTAGAACAAGGAAGACCAGTCTAAAGAGGACTTGGTATTCCAAGCAAAGTGTTGGATTTACTGGAGCATGTTAAGGTTACTGCCTAGCTTGGTAAAGCAGAGCAGCACTGTGCGCTGTGGCTTGCCGGAGTAGCAGATTAATGAAGAGAAATTCTGGCCCTGAGAGAAATTCACATAAAGATATGTCACTTGTTAAAAACTATATTTGCTTTCCAAATCATTATCTGGGTAAACCCTGTGCATAAAAACCTCAGCAAGAGCTTCCCAGTGTTGCACATCACCAGACAAATTATTCTGGTCCCGGTCTTGAAAACATGGAGCTGGATTTCACCACTTGTGCTGTTTGAGTTGCTGCTTTAGGAATATGTGTGCTGAGCTGCTGGGGATATAAAGATCTGTCAGGCATCGTCCCTGAATGATCATTCCAGTATCTGGAAGTCTTCTGGGAGTGTGACTTACTCCTCAAGGGGGAGTTTATGGCTGTGACTCTTCCACTGATTCATGGCAAATCTCAGGTTCTTTGGAGCAGCTGACAGCTGCTGACATTTATAGCCTATAATTTGGACTCCTCTGAAAAATACTTTGGCCTTCTCTAATGGGTGCCTTTAAGGTATCCGTGTCTGAGTTGTGCTGTAGACCCCTGACAGTACCTCCCTCCTTCCTCAAAAATACCCTTTGCCTGGCTTTTAGGTCCACACCTACTTCTTTTTAGTAATATGGTACTGCTGCTTCAGGGAGCCAAGGTACTAATGGTAGCTTTTGTTGCTATTTAATTCGTCAATAATACTTGAAAATAGTGGCTTAATATGTATCTTTGGTGTTTATTGTAATCATATACAGCATGTGGAACTTATTTAGTATTAATGTGATTGTCAGAAGTCCTTTGATAGAATTCCTGCTGTAATTCAGGACTAAATTAAAGAGCATTAAAGAAAATGAGCTTGTTTTTGTGCTGCCTAAATCTGAATAAGTGCCAATGCTGTCTTCTGGAGTCAAGCTCCATGCAGTTCTGACAATTCATTGGGATTGACCACTCCCTGAAGTAAAGAGCAAAAGGGAGAAAGGTGTTATTTTATGGGATTTCAGATTGTGAGGAGCTGGGGCCACACCTGAGTTATGGCACAATATTAAAAAAAAGAGCCATAGTATCTTTAAATGTGTGATAGGGGAAACCACTGAACACAATTATCAAGTGCTATAAACGAGGCTCGAGACTTTTTGAGGTAAATTAAGCCTGAGCTGCAGCCAAAGGAGGACGCAGGCTAATCCTGTGTGCCCCACGGTACAAACCAGGATAGCAACAAAGTATACCAACAAATTCCCCAACAGAAAAAGGCCCTCTACCCCACAACACCCTCATTTATACCCTCCCTTAGTCCTGGATTGGTCCGTTTTGGATCCTCTTCGGGATGGGTTGCTTTCTTGGACTCTGATTGGTCCATAGCCGAGTTCATCCTGGTCCAATCATTTTCCCAGGGTGTTGAATGATTGGCGGATGTTTCTTCCAATCATTACTCATAGTGCTGATGACATCTTCATTACTTCATGTTCTTGAATGTTCTATTCCATGCCCCCATAAGCCCCCTTCTGTTTGTTACCAATCCCCCATTCTGTCCCCCTGACCCCAATCCAATATCAACCCCGAACGCTCTAAAATCCTTAACAATCCTAATAACCATCATCTTAACAACTTCACAACATAATTAAACATAGTTAACTTTTATCCCTTATAACTTGGTAATTCATAACATCAATTAACTCTCCAATAATAACAACTTTAATTAACCACCCAAGTTCAACGAAAAGATCACTTATAACATCAGGTTGATCCTAAATAATATAAATATCTTTGCCACTGAATCTTCACTGGCATTTGGAAACTAAGAGAAATAGGGAATTGAATATTCTGCTGCACTTTCTTAAGGCAATGTGTAGAGGGCTCTAAAGTACTCAATGGCTTTCAAAAGTATAGTTTTGCCCTAGTAAGTAGCACTTCTTTCCTGCAATCTTATATAAAAAGTTTGCTTTTTACTTCTTTTGCACTCTGTCTCCTTTAAATGAAGTTAGTGAAGGGTAAAAAGGTGTAGAAACTAGAACTTCCACATATATCAAAATAATAAGATGTTAGAAAAAGCTCCAGCATATTTCAGCTATCTGTACTTTGATTGTATTCTATTATTTTGGTCAAGTTGTAGCTATAGCAATTTAGATTGAGTACAGGCTGTACTAAGAGTTGACGGGAAACCTTGACAGTTTGATTGTGTTGAAGTTTAAGTGGCATTCTCAGCCTTAAACACTAAGAAGCATCTTAGAAAATCCATCTGGATGATCTACCCAAAATAATGGACTCTCCTAAGCATTTCATACTGGACAAAGTGCCAAGAGCATCTGTCAAGCCTTAAGAAAGAAATGGTAACAGGAAGTTGACATCACTAAAGAACAGAGAAAAAGGAGGTTAATTGGAACAGAAACATCCTGTCAAAAGCTGGAGCTGTTTCCAAAGGAAATTGAATCTATAATAAACTCTGGCTGATGAAATATTTTATCTATGTGGCAGGTAGAAAAAGTTTCCAAGGACAGCTGATCAGAGGGATGAAAGCCTGGTGCTACAACCTCTTTCCAGAAACCACATAAGCCAAAAAGAAGCAGAAAACACCTCCACCTGCTGTGTGAGTGTTTTGGTTTGGAAGACAGGTGTCTGCTAGGGAGGGAAGGAGCCTCCCTTGGAATGAAAATGTAAACCCCCTCCCTCTGAATTATTATAATTTTGCCATCAAGGGGCTCTCAGGCAGAGATCTGGGGATAGGAATAACAGTTCTTTACTAGTGTGTATAACAAGGCACACAAACAACAATAACTACAGCATGAACAACAAAACAGAACCAGGGACCCCGTGGCAGCTTTCTCGGCTGAGACGGGAAGGGATGGAGGAGAGGCTTTGCTTCACAAACCCCTCGGGCAGCCAGTCCTGTGCTCCTGCAGGGCTCTGAGGAACACTCAGCTGGAACAGCAGGGATGAGCTGAGATCCTGGGCCGGTGGCTGAGGTGGATCAGCAGCTCCACAGCAGTGCCTGGCACTGGCACATGCCCCAGCAGGACACGGGGTGCAGGAGGAGGGTGGGCCACAGATGAAGAAGAAGCAGCAGAAGAGCTCTGTTTGGGTTATGGTGAATTCTTTTTTCCAAGCAACCACAGCTCCGAGTTTGTCCTGCTCTGAAGCAGAAGAAAACCAACTCCCTGCAGCTACACTCACCCTCTCTTTTACCTCCCGGGCCCAGCCAAACTCTTTGTGTTCTCAAGCACCCAATAAGTACCAGCAGCCAGGTTTCCCTGCAACTAATGGGGAAAAAAATTCTATAGGTGAGGAGGAGCAAAAAAAAGGATACCTAACTCCCTACAGTGTGTATGGTTAGTTGATGGCCAGCTATAAAAAACAGGTATAAAAGGGAGGCTATATGAATTACTTGCATCTTTGTTCACTGTGGAAGACACTGAGATCATCAGGCTGAGACTGAGATAATCTTAAGTGAATTTATGGTATAGATACAAGATGGATGTGAATTTATAGGCAGAACTGGGCTCACCTATGCAAGAAGAGTAGTGTATGTACTTCCTCACTGAAAACTGCCTTGGTGCTTGAAGACTGGAGGGTGTTAGAAATGGGATCAGTGTTTAAAACCAGTCCAAATTAAAAATAGCTCAAATGTATCTGTAAGCCTGATATCTCTTCTAGCTGATTTGGTGGAGACTGTAGTAGCAGATAATATTAGTGAACACCTGGATAAATGTATGTGCTCTTGTAAAACTTAGGAGGGTCTTTGAACAGGTGCATGTGGATATCCAGGAGATAGAGTATATTTGAAATTTTAAAAGGCTTTGGACAAAGGGTTTGAGGCAATCATGAAGAGGGAAAGTATTGCTAAGGATAACAGATTAGGCAAATATTTGGAAGTAAGATTCACTGGGGTTACTGCATTGACGAACTACACCAGTATCAGGAAATCTGAGCTGAAAATACTTGGATGTGCAGTTGAAAATATACTGGTTTTGGTTTTAGTCTTCCTTAAGGGTCTCTTTCAAAAAAGACACAGTGTGAAGCAATCAACACACCTTGGACCCTGCTGGAAGCCTTGAGGAGCGTTTAGTGCTTCCAAGCATGACTGAACAGCACCAAGATTTCTGTAAATTGATATTAGATGGAAGAAGAGATTTTTGTTCTGAAGGTCTACAGCTGCAGTCCTTGGGCTGGTTTGAATTCTCCTAGCTTATTTCTAGGAATTTTACTAGTGGCCTGAGCTTTTGTGTGCCAAGGATTGGAAGGGACTTCCTTGTCTGTTAAACAGCTGTTTGTTTCTCTCTTTTTTCTGTAATTTCAGCCTCATGTTTGGATCCAGAGCAATTTGTCACCTCCTTTGTTTATACTCAGGTGGCCACTAGTTCATTGTTCAGTTGCAATGCTTGTCCCCTTAGGAGTGCAGGTGAGGTTGCCCAGTGGGAGCAGCTCACAGAAATAATAGAGATTTTTTTTAATGTATTTTAGAGTTGTGTGAATTTATTTTACCCCATTTTAAATATTTTAGATTCCCCACATGTTCTTATGGGCTTTGAACTTCTGGTTTCCTTACCAAGCTTCTAGTTGACAGTGTTTAAGAGGGATTTGTGCTGCAGCTTTGGCATGATCTCAGATAACACCAGTGATTCATGTACTAAAGTTTAAAAAGGGTGCTTATATACTCAAAAGAGAGGCCATCCTAGTTTGAGGTCTTGCCATAATCACTGTTTCAGCATTTACTGTTTTAAATTACTTCCTTCAGTCTATAATGTAGCAGAGAACACCTTTAAAAAGAATACATGTTCAAACATGGCTGTTTTCCTCTCTATTTCCATTTTTTTTTTGGCAAGAACTCCAAGGGTCTGAAGAGAAGATGTAGTTGAATGTCACCTTCACTGATATTTGCAAATTAATAATGTGTGAAGGATGTAATGTCATTAAAGCGAGAACTCAACGACTCAGCAAAAGTGTTCTCAGCTATTAATAGGTCTTTCATAACTACAGTCATTTGCTAGATTTTATGTTTGGTTTACAAAGCACAGGAGGCCAGCACAGTCAGGAAAGTGTGATGTTATTAGCCTTGTGTTTCAGTAGTGCTCCTGTGGGCACTGATCCACAGAGACCTGTGTCTGGAACATATTTGAGAGAAAGATCCAGGAGATGATTCTGTTCCTGTTTTGTTGCTGTCCCAAAGACACAACAGACAATCTTAGGGACACTGTCTTAATCCAAAGTAAATCTCCTAAAGTCTCTGTCTGGGTTTTATTGTGATTTTTCCATTAAAACCTGAGGAAATGTGTGATCTGGTTGTTTCTTAGCTCTCTCTGGCATGCAGTCCAGTGAAATTCATTGCCAAAGATATAAGACTTAGTTCTGTGTTGTTTGGCATTTTTCCTAGCTGATTTCATTGCTTCTCCTACTTTCCCATCTTCCTGACTTCCAGCTGTAAGAGTTTGGAAGTATTCAGAAGACCTAGAAATACCAGGCAGCAATTTTAACAATACAAGTAATTTACATGCATGCTGTTCTGCCTGTCCTTTTTTATTATTTCCGCTTGTGTGTGACTACAGCAGCCACAATTTTCAAGGAGTCAGACTAAGATGAGCAGCTCATCTTCTGAAAGCTAAGATCCAAGCTGTCAGATAATAGAAAGGATTAATGTTAGGACCAACTTCTGCTGGTTTTAGAAAGAGTAGCTATTAAAAGCACATTTTAATTCGAGTTGGCAGAATAGGGATCACACACAGTCCCAAAATACCAGTGAACACTGATTTTAATGTTTCATTGTTTTGCTGTACAGAATAGCTGTGTGTTCCATTGAAAAGTGGAATATAGTGCCAGTCCCTTGGCACTATATATATTATTTCCAGGACCATAGAGCAGTAATGAGTGGAGGTTTTAAAAAAGCTGTAGTTAATGTTTAATTCAGTCAGAAAAGGAGCCTGCATCTTCATGGGGATTAAAACACACCTCTGCCATGTCTTTTTGGATTTTCTGAATGCATCAAATTATTCTTAAGGTCATGAACTAAGGACAGTCCATTGTTAAGAAAGAGATTAGCCCAGAAAGTCACTGCAAAGAGTGTTTTTCCCTGCTTTTGGGCATTTAAAAACGATGGTGGAAATACCCAGAATCCCTGCATTGGAAAGCACCATTCAAAAAAAAAAAAATTATAAAAAGGAGAATGAGGCAAATTTTTCTTTAATTACTGGTATCAGAGAGGACAGAGAAGAACAGGCTCCTTGAGGTTGGAAGCCCCTGTCCATAAGAAGAAGCAATGTCGGGTCTCAGCAGGCTGGAGGATGCATGGAAGGGATGAGCTGGAGTGAGTTTGGGAGTCAGTCACCCCCTGGGAGGAGCAAGCATCTGGTCCATAAAGAGCCAGCAGGGAGAAAGGGCAAGGGGGAAGGAAAATATTGGAATAGCATCACCCCACTCATGCCATGAGCTCTCAGCTCCCAGACCATGGTGCCTGTGGAGGGACCCACAGAGAGAACAGGAGAGAATCCCTGCTGCTGAAGGTGTTTGAAATGAGGTTAGACAGAGCACTGGGGATCAGAGGTGGTTTTGTCATTGACTTTAATGGGATTATAATTAATTCTTAAATCAGGTAGCCAAACATAAGGTGAGTAAACAGTGGCTTGTGTAGTTGGGAAAGCTGGGATAAAATAAGAAAGGGGGTCCTTTTAGAGTGCTTTAAGTAGTCATTTCTGGCTCCCTGTGTGGACAAATAGAAAGTCTGCCTTGCACCTAAAGCATGCCAGAAGTGTCCACGTGTGGAATGAGCACATGAAAACTACTTGCTAATTGAGACACAGTATGTGTGTCTGTTGCCTTAAGTTTTAGCTTTCATATTTTCAGATTCTGTGCGGCTTTAGTGCGTAACTCTGAGCTTCATATTAAGTGTTAGTAGGTTTTCTTCACAGGGTAGGTAGACAAAACAATCTTTTTCCAGCATGAGACCAAAGAGAACCATTACAAGCTCCAGGCCCAAAAAGTATAAACAACAGTGAATTGAAGAAAGAAAACAAGGATGATGGAACTTCAAAACCTAAAGCTATAATTGGACAATTACCTCCAATATGCAAATGAACCAAAACTTATAAAAGCGTGAGACCTTGTGACCGATCAACCATTTTGTGTTCATCTTGGGTGTAGCCCTGGCCAGGCTCTTGAACTGCTCAAGGTGTATCCATTAAGGCCTTTTAATAAATACCTACTTTATTCCTTTACTCTGTCTAGGTCAGCCTTCTCAAGGCATCATGTTAGTAAGATTGTCTGCACAAGCCCCAGAGGGGCACATCATCCAGGAGACCTGGATATGAGTGAGAGCAGGGCATTAAGGAGAGTATTGCTGTTTGAAAAGTGCTCTGAGAAATTACTGCAGTACAACCCCTCTGTCACAGCAGAGGAGGCTCAGATGTGTGTTTGCAAGGTGACTTCTTGTGACCCCAGCTGTAAGCAGAGTCCAACAGCTGCAGCAAATTGCTAAATCATTCTTGGCTAATGCTGACATCAAATTATCTAAATAGTTTTTGTGAGGTTATTGTTTTTCATGGGGACATGACAAACATAAGTCTTTACTTAGAGCCTTCTGCTCTATTTCCTTGAGCTCTGTCTGTCATAATTTTAAAATAATACACTATTTCTTAGGTGTCTGAGCTGTTCTCCTCATTACATAATTTTATTTTTTTCCGCTCTGATAAATCCACTCCAAATTAATCCAGAATGCTGAACTTGTGACTTTGCAGATGCCAACAGAGTCAATGCCTGGGAAATCGTCACAGGCATGAGATAGTGACTCTCTGGGGAGATCAAAAAGAAACCAAGATGCAGGAGAATGCTGCCATAATTATCCACAGAAAGGTTAGCTCAATGTCACTGCAGATTCCTTATGGCTACTGAGAACTGTCTGTCCGTACCAGAGAGCAGCCCTGTCCCTGAATATCTGCTAAAGAACATCAATAAAAACATTAAAACCAGATTAAAAACAAAACCCGAAACATCGCTCTTAAGTCTTCGATTGTTCTGACAATGTGCCGTTGCAGTTTTCTCCTGGATGAATATTTCTCTCTGGAAAAGCAGAGCAGAGCATTTGAGGGAATTCTCCAGCTGGTATCAAGGAAATGATTTCTCAGATATCTGTGCAACTCTGCCTCCACATGCTGCTGAAAGTTCCTAATTTTAAGTTGATCTTTCCTAGGAACCTGACAGAAAAAATGTGGTTCTGATGATTTGAGTTGCTCACTGTCCACTGATTTCCACTGTGGAAATAGAAGTGTCTGGGCTGGACCTGCTGTATGTGATCTGTTTTCACCAGGGTTAGCCACTTGTGCCTCTCTGGGCTGTGGAGCTGCTGGAACACATCATTGCAAATTCCCAAGCTGCTTGTGGAGTTTCCAGGTACTACTCAAGGCTTGGAAAATTTCAGCTGCAGTTTTATCCAAATGCTAACAACCCACCACATGTTTGTATGAGCTTGACTGGAGAAGGTCAGGGGAGGACCCTGAAAGTCATTCAGCTGTTTCTTGCTCCAAGCTGCGCTGGGGAGATAACATTGCCTGAGATGCACTCTTGTGCAAAGCATTTGATCATCTGATGCATTTCTTTGGGGAAGCTGTGTCTGTGTGGTGGAGCTGCACAGCTTCTGGGCTGTGCCACTCGGAGGACTGAATGCTCAGTAGAGGACAGCACTAACCAGGAACCAGCAGCTCCTCATTCTGGGTGAGGATTGGCACAAGGGAAGGCATTTGTGCTCGTGTGGATGCAAGGGCTGCACCAGTCTGGTGACGTCTATGCCAGGACATGAAAGAGACAAACACTGTCGTGCTCCTGTGGGCACTACAAAGCTTTCAGGGAAAAGCCTTCCTGGTCTCTCTGTTGAGCATGGAGTGGCCATCTCACTGCCTGCTGGGATGGGTGTCTATGGTACCTTCAAAGTCTGCAGGATTCCCTGTCTGGATTGGGAGTTAAAGGAAAACACCCTTGAGCTTCCAGCTCTATCTCTAGAAACTTGCCTATGCACAGCATTTGTCCCCATGTTTCTCAGCTTCTATCCAGCCTGTGAAGTGTCAGAATGCCAGAGAGCACTCCCGTTTTTACAAATAGGGAACAGAAATTTTCATTTGTTTCTGTATGTCCCCTCATGAGGTGCTCAAGATGGGCAGCAGCTTTTTAGCTGTTAGACCATCAGCCCAGCCATAACCAGCATGTTTTATGTTTCTCCATGGGCTTCTGGCCACCTGTGTAATGTCCATCTGCTGAACTGGGTGGGAAACTACCAGCACTGCCATCCAGATCATTGGAATGAGGCATGGGTTTCCAGGAGGTGATTATGTTCCTGAAGGATCGTTTGCAGTACAGTGACAAAAGCTGCTGTCCCTTCTGCATGGAGTCCCTCCCATGAACTGGTCTCATGGCACTGCTGTTTACTTCTTGATACTTTAAGGTATCTGGGGAGATTTATCCAGAAGAATTGCAAACATTGTGGCAATGATATCAAATTAATATTCAGAGACAGTCTCTGACACTCTGAGACTGAGGAATTTTAATGTGTTCATCCTGAGCTGTGGGGGGCTTTTCTAATGGTAAATTTGCCAGAAAATGCAGGTTTAGAATGACCAAAACTATTTGCCCTCTGAAGTAAAATCTGTGGACTAGTTCTAAGTGGGAAAGGACATGGTACTTCAGGAGTGACAGTGAGCGTGCCTCTGGCCTCTCCTTAGCCAAGGTGCAAGGACCCCACAACATCAAGCTGTTTGCTCAACACCCCTTTACTGTGGAAGGAAGTTTGAGACTGCAATTCCCAGTTGTCACTTCGATGTCGGAGACAGGAATATGATAAAACACACCAAGGTTCATGTGCAACAGCCAACTTTTATTGAGTGCAGCTCTGCTTACATAGCATTGAGGTCTGCACTGTTAAGTCTGATTGGCTAACCAGTTGTCCCCCGGCCAACCAGCCAATAGCCGCTCGCATCCCCAGCCGTCTCACCTGCTCCCCAACGGTCCACACTGGTCCAGTTACATAATCAAGGTACTTGTATAATTAGTTATGTTTCAGTTATAAAATTGGGATTAATTATAACTGTGAGGCCTTCGGGCCAGCTGTTGGCCACCACAGTTCCCCCTTTTTTGTTTTTAGATACAAAAAGCAGTATCATCCTCTGCAGGCACCTTGCAGACAGGATGACAAACGCTGCATTATGTATGAAACATTCACAATGACACAAATAAAAAACCTCAACCTTTCCACTCAACTCAACAAGTCCAGCCTGTGATATAGTTTCAGCCAGTGATATATCCCTGGTATATACAATGATATATCCTGATATATCCCCCCTGACATACACAATGATATTGTATCATTGGAGATGTAACAATCATATCCAGTTGTCAAATGGGATTACCAGCCATACAAACTCTCAAAGTGGCATGCCCCATGCTTATTAAATTAAAAGTTACAATTTCACAACTTTACGATTCAACCTTAGAATCACAAGAAAATAAACAATTTGTCTTAGTTTGGTTTTGTGGTTAATGTCCTTAAATAGACAAGAATCCTTAAATAAATTGTCCCAGTTTGCCACGTAGCAGGTGCACAAGTTGTTTAAATCACTGCAACACAATGTCTGCTAGGGTGTCATCAGAAAGGTGCTGTTCGGGTTCTGAGCAGGGCGAACACACCTGGCCGGTACCCATCGCATTCTGTTGTCCATGGAAACACAAGCTACCCTCACCCCCAAGTAAGACGATCCCATGGACCTATCCAAGAGATCTTAGTGATAGTATCTCTTACCATTACTTTGGGTTTAGGTGATTTAGTATCACAAAGTGATTTAATACTGGATTCTGGGAATTTTCTGGTATTCTTAAGTGGTTCAGGGTATAAACAGCACTTTGCTGCTCTGCTCTCTGGGGATTCACCACACATTCCCCTTTTCTGTTTATCAAGTATTCATTTTAAAGTTCCACGTGCATGTTTCACGATGGCTTGTCCTGTTGGTGAGTGGGGAATACCAGTGTGGTGTACTTGTAGTACTTGTACTTTGTACTTTGGGGGAGCGTACAACACTCCCAAGTTGTAGGAATTGTCTCATGTTTTCTGAAATGTATGCAGAGCCATTGTCTGTTTTAATGGTATGAGGGATACCTAAAGCAGCCAAGGTTGATTTCCAATGTGTGATGGTATCCCCAACTGTGGCCTGTGTGGCTGATGAGGTGTCATTTGAGACGTGCATATATTTTAATCTGCCAGATGCAGGGATGTGTGTAACATCAGTTTGCCAAATTTGCAGAGCTCTCAGGTCACGGGGATTAAGTCTCATTTGCAGTAATGCAGTGTGGCCTTGGCAGTCAGTACAAGTACTGACTGTATTATGAGCCTCTGTGTTTCACAATAGAAATTACCTCTGTAGGGCTCAAACTCCTTGATGGAAGGTGGCATGTGATGCTTTTTGCTCATGTAGGAATATCTGGTTGAGATGCTGTCCAGGCAGGGCTAGCCAGGTAATCTGAACAAACATTGCCCTCTGAGATGAAACCTGGCGAATTTTTTATTTGTGTGACTTCTAATACGTAAGAGGTAATAAGGGCAAGTTCTGGCTTGGATTGAATGGCACAAAGCCCTTAGTAGGTCAAATAACTGCATTGTCTTTCTGTAATGCTTAGTAATATTCAGTAATATTTAAGGAAGTGTGAGAAAATCGTTGGAAAGCCATTTCATAGGAGACTGTGTTTAATACTTTCTTCTCATCACCACCAAAATGCTTTACAGCCCTGAGCCTCCACTTTCAGCAGTGACAAACCAATACCGTGCCAGAGAGGAGGAGATGGTTCTGGTGAACAGTTTCTCCAGTTGGTCATACTTCCTTCACTGCTCAGCAAGCCCAGAGGCTGAAAATATATAGATGCATTAATAAAACCTAAGATTTTTCCAAACAGCACATGAGGGAGAAAAGAAAAAGTACGCTTATTCTAGAAATACAAACCTTTTATAAGGATTTTTAATTTCAATATTTGTTCTATGATAAAAAGAAAATGTAGGCCAACAAAGGCCAGGATTATCAAAGAGCTCCCCTTTTGCTTCAGCTCTTTAAGGGCTTGTCAGTTTTTTATTGTACACTTACTCCTCTTAAGACTTCTACTTTTATTACTTAATTTTTTCTGCTGGCCTGTAGATAAAAAAATCTGCTGTCAGCCTGTCTGCATATGTCCATCAGATATGCACAGGGAATAAAATGGTTAGAACAGGAGACAAAGGGCTATTCCTTTACACCTGCCTGACAAAAATCAGATTTGCTGGAAGCTGAAGCCAGCTCTACCACTTACAGTGGCAGCAGGTTGAAAAATGCTTTCTATTTACAAATATTTTTTGATCAAAGTATTAAGCTTGAAGAGGAACATGTGTTATATCATGGATCTCTCTAAAGTGGGTAAAATAAGCTGTTGCACTTAGAAAAACATAATTTGCCAAATCTGATACTTTAAATATCCACAAGAAGGAAAATAAAAATTATGTAGAGGAAAAAAAATACGGAATTAAAACCACCCTTGAATATTTTGCATTTTTTAAAGAGCCTTTCAATGACTGCTTTGCAAGGCCTACAACATGGAGACACCTGGAAGCTTTGCTTTATGAAGATTAACACATTGAAATTCACTGGACCTCCAGTGACTAAAACACCAATGTATTCATTAAGTATAACTTTACAGGTGGAAGCTCCTCTCACTTCACCTGCAGCACTTAGTGGGTAAGATTCTATAAAAAGGTCACATAAATATGCTTACAGTGGCATTCAGCTTTGTGCTTTCCTATTACTTTGTTTCACTGCTTAATCAGCATTTGTAATGCACTTCTGCCACTTGCATGAACACAACACCCTGTTCACTGACCGTGATTGGTATTTCCTCATATGGACTTGCTATTATGCAATTATTTATTTACAACATACTTTTAAGAAATCATTATTTCATGCATGAACATCCCTAAATGGTCCCCATATGCAGCAGTAATTACTTATGATATTTTGAGGAATTATTTAATATCTGCACTCAGCCAAGATGTGAGACAAAACTCAATTCAAGATGCAAAAAATGACATCCTGAATTTGTCAACTACTCTTAACTGATTGCAAACTACAATAACAAAAATATTAGCTAACAAAATGAGACTATTCAAAGCTGTTGAATCTGAGGAAAATCATGCATATCCATATACACTCCCACTGACAGACATTTAGAAAATAATTAACAGGGGTAAGTAAATGGCATAAATTAAGGGCCACTAACAAAGACACCAACGGGTTATCTACTCAGGAAAAGAAATCCATTATAAGGCTAATAATTTCCAGATTCTGAAAGTTTCTGAAAAACTCTGAAGTTTTGAAATTTCAAGTTATCCTTACTTCCTTAGAACCATATGATCTAGAATACATTTTCACCATTCTTAGGAGAGTAAACAAGGATATGTTTCTGTTTCAATAAATAGGTGGAAAATCTATTATCCTCAGAAAAACCTAAGTCAGCAGTATTTATGAAACCATATCCCAGACAGGAGGATTCTTTTTCATGAAAGAAAAAAGCAAAAGAATTAACTAAGTACCTAATTCCATCATTTTGTTTTATATCCCTTTCCCCCAGCTTCTGGGGAGACAAGTGCTCAGATCACCTACTTCTTCTGGCCTTGTGAGTAGCTCAGTGCTCCACAGCCAAACCCTGCAGCACCACAGATCTGAATGAAGAAAGCAGCCTCTTCACAAGTATCTTCAGTGGGTGACAAGCCATTTGATTAATGCAGCTGTAATTGAACCTCATATGCAGTCCTGTCTGTAGTGGGATGTTACTGATTTCTACAGCTTCACGTGCATCCAGCAAAACATTTTGTCACATCCTGAACTGTAGTTTCACTTGTATTACCAATGGCACCATGAAGCATGCTGAGGGAAGCTAAGCACATGTTTGGGAACATGTCACAACCTAATGGGCTACCTCATGGGTGCGTAGGGATCTTGACTTTGGTTTCTGGGACTCCATAACAAACAAAAATATGGAGACTTTTATCCTCTAAATTTCTCTACCTTATTACAGGTAAGTACAACTAGCAAAAAATCAACAATAGCAAGTGGATACGATTAATAAAATTAAGATGTACATATATCAAGCAATGATGATGATAAGTAATCAATAACATAGTATCGATCATTATTATGGCAGATAATAGCAGCAGCCAATTGTGTAGTAGCAGAGGAAGTTTATTTTATTGCAGATTACTACAAACATTAATAAATAACTTACAATAGATTATTTCTATGGGTATATAATACTAGCCAGTATCAAGTGAATTAGACAGATTTCAGAAGGGGCCAAACCATCCCAAAGGAGAGGACAGACTGACCCCGGAGGGCTACCCAACCATCCCAGAGGTGGGAGAACAATCCCAAAACTGCTCCCAGAGGAAATACAGTAAAATAATTATGCGATGTTCTCACTTAGGAGATGATCTACATCACTGAGCCTGGAGTCAGCCAGACACCCCTGGTGGGTGTCCAAATGCTTGCTGAAAGTTTCCGAGGGATTTAACCTGTCGGGTGTGGTCCTGTCGCCCATCAGCACCGGGAATGCTTTAACCTTCCCTCCACAGGCTGCTGGCCACCCAGCAGATATCACCCGATGATAACGTAGGCACGGAAATCCTTTCAGCGTTGTTAAGATCTGCGATAGCTGTTAATTTTATCCGCTTCCAAAAGCTGATGGGATCACACGTAGAGATGTTAATCGATACTAAACTGCCAATGGCCGCGTCTTATCGTGGGACAGCAAGGGCGCTGTAACGCGACTCTCCCCACTGGGATACTGTGAGTCTGTTAATGAAAAAATCCCCTCGGGCTCCTCGAACCCTAGCTGTGGATGCGGCACGGTGTGGTGTCTCGTAGTGCACAGTGCCTGTAACCTTCCATCAATATTTCGGGTTCGAGCGCTGGCGACTCCGCGCCAGAGCTCCCGGTGCCGAGCGCAGCTTCATTTCCGGGTTCCGCGCGCGCTGCCCAATCAAGTGCGGGCAGGGGCGGGCCGAGCGGCGGCTGCCCAATCAAGTGCGGGCAGGGGCGGGCCGAGCGGCGATACGAGGCGCAGCGTACAGAGATGGCTGCAGTGGCCGCAGGGTCAGTGTGCTCGGGCACTGCGCTTGCGCACCCGATGCTGAGGGTGGAGGCTCGGGTGGTCGCATGCACGGCTACAGCCATACATGATACAGGCGCTACCGATAGTAGCGGCTGGGGAGCTGTGCCGGCAACGCGGCAGGAGGAAGCCACAGCAGTCCCGGATAATGGCCGTGCCTCCCTCAGCTTCT